TTAGTTACCAAATTAATATGGTTGCTTTCTTTGTTGTCAAAGATGAGAATTTCTTAGTTGATGGTGACAAAAAAACAGTCCATATTGAGTTTTGAAATTTGTACTGTTTTCAATACAAATCTCAAAACTTAAAGTAGACTATGTTTTTAAGACAGATGGAGTATTTAATAAATAAGACATCCAAAATTCATCACTTTGAAAATTTAGATTGAGAACGGTTCCTAGTTACTAATTTGTCTCTATACTAGAACATTAAGACTTGTTCCTCCGGGCCAGAATCACTAACAGTTCCAAAATATGTAGATAATTAACTGACCTATAGAACACATGTCGACTAAGAAAATAATGTGTATTCTTAAAATTTTTTGTTATGAATATCTTTATTCTTTCTTTTCCAAAATGTTCTGTTTAGATATTAACTTTTACTAAAATCTGTAATAAAAATGAAAATATAAAATGGACAATAATTTTAGAACATACGATTTCTAATAGAATTACTAGTAAAAATAAAATTCAAATTAAAAAATTACTTCAGACAGAGAGAGAAATCACCCATTAAGCTAATTAAAAGATTTTGATTTTTAAGTGCATTACTTATTTATTCATTTTACCGCACAGAAGAAGCAACATTTCGTTGAAAAGACTTGGTGTACCCGGTAAACTTACTGCCTAACATTCCCCTCCATAGCAATTATACAATGAATCCCCTGTGGGGATTGGTCAACATGTAAAATAGATATGTGTATCCTAAATTCGCTAAAGTATCCGCGATGTCCTTAATCTCTTTCACAATATACTTGACAACTACCTCGGTACCTCCTATTCAAAAGGAAAACAATAAGTATGGTGAAATATCATAGTGACTTTGATGTAGTGACTGATGTGTAAATGTGTGATTGATAGTTCATGTGATGATAATAACTACCTCTAAAAAAATTAAATATCACCACTTGAAAAATGGTCTTTTAAGTGGATTTTAATCAAGTGTTGTTTTTTTACTAACAATGCATTATCCCTTAAGTAATTTTATTTTCAATAATCCTAAGTCTTCACGTGTGAGATCATCTTGTATGTGATCTATTTCTACCAAAAATATTAATTACCAATCAGCAACATAGAAAGGAAGACAGCAAAGCCAAAAGTGAAAAAAAAAAAAAACAGAAAAGAAAAAAAAATGCCCAATGAGAATGGACAATATGGTCGGTCCATAAGAATGTAAAAAAAGAATAGGATACCCCATCATTTTTTTTTTTTTGGGATACCCCATCATTAAATCAGAAGGTTTTCTCCATTGATGCAAGCAGTCCACTATATATATATATATATATATATATATATATATATATATATATATCCAATGTTTGCCATTATTAATATTCCTGAAACCCCTTTTCCAGAAAAAAAAAAATTAAATATACGTATGGAAAGCCATCAAATAAAGCTTAGCCTTTAGCCACTAGTGTCAATTCATCATATCATCTCATCATGCATCTGATGGCAAATGATTATTCAGCTTCCATAGTGATACTTCTACTTACAGCTAGCTTTCGGGGGGGAAAAAAAATGAGACAAAAGTTGTAACTGTTTGAGGCTTTAATCAGGTTAATTTTGTAAGGTTCATCTTCTTTTTTTTTTTTTTTTAACGTCGGAAAATTACATCAGGTATTGATAATACATACTTGGAATGATAGTACGCGAACCTCAACAAAGATAACGACCTTAGGTAAACCCTAAAAATATCCGGTAAGAATACTTAACGTGAGTTTATTTCACTAGACATCACCAAATATTTATAGACCTCATTTAATTTCGAACCGAATTTGTTATCTCGGGTATAATGTAAATTTTAGTCATAGCAAATCTTTCGAAAATTTATTGATAAAGAGAATAAATCATAACTTCGTATTAGAATAAAAAATCGAACTCAAAATGTCCTTTAAGAAGAAAGAGTGGTTCACCATTAAATTACAGTCTCATGAGTGATTGATGCTAAGAGGTTCAAACTAATTAAGTGCGTACCCAGAATCATCTATTATAATAACAATTAGTGGCGGATTACTTAGTAAATATTGCTTTCTGAAGCCTAGGAGGATTATAGTGCTTGTTGTTCTGCCGTTGAAATTATACAGTGGTTGAAATACGAAGTTGTTGATGTAATTCCTACCTTTAAAATGTTTTAATTTTTTAACTAGGTTTCGGCCTCTTTTATTGTACTAAAAGAAGTGTTACGGAATATTCTTGTTTCTCGCTAAATACTTATAACTAACATATTATCAAAGAGCTCTTATCCGTGGTAAACAAAGCAATACATAGTGTGCACAACTATTTATACATTTGCGTATTTACATGTTTGTTTCCCAATTAATTAAGCATAATGAAATATATTGTCTAATAAATTAATCAGATTATCCATTGATTATTTAGTGATGTGTAATCCACTTTTTATCCACGTACTTGAAAATGTATCAGATTTTTTTTTTTTTCATTTAATGATAAACCCATCAAAATCAAATTTGCAATTCCAATATCAATTACATCAGACTTTGACTGTCTGAAAAGACATACTAATTAGGAGAGCCGATCCTTATTTCCCAATTCAACACCAATTTTTTATTAGATCACACTCAAATTAAAAAATAGAATGTTGATGTAGGAAGCTCATAAATTCATTAATTACTTCTTCTTCTTTTTTTCTAAAAATTAGATTTGTTGTTTCTATCTGATTCCGATCATATTCAACTTGTTATGTATATTTAAGAAAAAGAATCCACCTGGTAGATCAAGATTCAAGAGGTTGGCCATAATTTGTAACGTTATTAACCAAATGTATCCGCACCTCATTCGTGATATATGTTGCTGGCTAAGCCCCGGCCAGAGCCATAATTTGTTCGAGATTTACAATGACATTTAATAGAATACAATTTTTTTTTGGGGGAGGACATTCATCAACAAATTTTGAAAAATGGAGTGAACATGCCCGTACTATTATCTGTTTCTCTCAACTCTGTCACAGCTTAATAAGCAAAAGTTCTATATGTACAATGTTGTGAAGAACCACTGGGTAGACATTATTAATTGAGAGGGATAAAAGAGGAAGAAGAAAAAAAAAAAGCAAGAAAACACTAATACAATAAATATATTCTATCAATTCTAAAATAATCATCCGGTTTAAATTTTTATTTTTATACAATTCATTGAAATTGAAAATCAAAGATGAATTTTTATTCTGAGCGGAGGGAGTATACTACTAATTTGGTTATTAAATGCTATACGTGAAAATTCCAAATCATTGCTATGGGAATATCATCCAGGTTTTATTTCCCTTTTAGTTTTTGTGGGAGGTGGTAATATTGCAAGATATCAAAGGAATAAATATACAAAAGAGAATAATGATGCCAATAATGTGAAGAATATTCATCTCCAATCTAAGAAGTTTGATGATTGAAAAAAAAAAATTAAAAAAAAAATAGAGAGAAAGAAATAAAAAAAAAAAAAAAGGACAGATAGTAAAGATTCTCGGAATGATCGCAAACCGCACGAGCCAAACGGCATAGGATTCCCTTAATGATGCTGGCCAAAGTCAGACAATCAGATTCCCACAATCTGACACAATCATCTATCTCCTCCCACTTTTCAATTAACCTTAATTTTTATTTATTGTTAGTATTATTATTATTTTAATAAAAAAGAAAGGAAAAAAAAATAAAAGAGAGAAACAAACACCAAATTCACCTAATTTGTGCCCCCCTTCATTTTATCCATCACTTTTCCAACCAACCCTCTTCTTCCTGCTTTGTTTACGTGCGTTTTTTATGTTTTACTATCATTAACAGATCCCACTACGTACACCAAAAAAACAGAACACACTTTTTGTCTTCTGCTGTCAGAAATAATTCAGAAGATTTTAATCACATTTTTGAACATTATGTTGGAAGAAGATAGAGATATGTATATATGCTATACATAGTACCTAGTGAGTGATCATGACGTTTTTATTCCTTCTTTCTGCAAAATTTGCTTCGAAATGGAATATTTTGCGGGCACTACTATTATTTTTGGGTTACACGAGCTGAGTTCGATCGATTTGTGATGTGAACTTGACAGCTACATTGTTGTACTATAAGATGCCGCTAAAAGGACAGTTGCTTTTACACCATCGTTTGCTAATGTAATCGTTTATTTTTAATGAACTATTAAAATGAGATTAAGAGATTGCGATCGAGTTAATGTTAATGGCATTAAACACCTAATCAAGGGAACCTCTAGATATATACCATAGGCTTAAAAGACGAGTTCATTTCTCTCCTCTACATATGCTATCATTACAAATTTAGGACGACAGAAAAAGAAGATTAGCCCTCCATTTTTCTTGTCATCTTTGGTCTCAAAATGGCCTTTTTATTAGGGTATTTTATTTTGTTGTTCAGCTTAATCAACCAAGATTATCTTTTTTGAGTTACTACTAAATTATATCGCTTACGGTGATATATTCATTGAATACTAGTAAATCGTTTATTTACTTACTATTTTATATATTCTCTATCTCAATTAATAAATAATCGACTTTGTTGTATCATATATTAATTTAATAAAAATAGATCATTTTGTAACACACATATACATAGAAGATGAATATTTACATCAAAAGGAATTCAAGGAATTTAAGCTATGAAGAGTTTGATTACAAAAGACGTTACTTTGTGGTGTTCAGTATTCTCTCGTTTGAATCAATTCAGAATCATTTAAAAGATGCGAGTATAGCATGTCGCATTCACTTCTCAAGGTAATTAGTTAATGGAGCCATGTAGTCTTAAATGTTCTTGAAAAATGAAAACTACATCAACTTGAGTGTCTCAATTGTAGGTTAATTGATCCTTGAGTATTTTGAGAATCACTTGAAATCTCTTGAACACAATAATTAATCTCGAAGTTTTGGGTTTGAATCGCGGCTAACAATCCAAAGTAATAGAAAATCACATAAACTACGAATTAAACTCGAATACGACAAACAATCTAAATATGATTTATACAGAAAATTAAGGAACACATGATGATCACAACCATGGATCAATATTGCATTCTTAAACCTCCTAATTGGTGGAATGAGTACATATATAATCAACCACACACTTATAAAGTCGGATCATAAGAGGGGTACCCCAAAACCCCCCACCAATCCTCTAAAGAGAAACTATTTGAAAGAAAAAGTCCCTAAAAAAAGTTTATCTTATTAGTAGTATACTCTACACAAAAACAAAAAGCCTAACAGAGAAAAAAATACCAAAAGCCCCAAAATCTAATGCTACTTCTTCTTCTTCTAAGAATCAAACACTCAAAAAAGCACACAATTCTCACACTTAGATATATTTTAAATTGGGGCAATCTATTAAAAAAAAAACCACTAATCAAAGGCCTAATTCAAGTCATGATTAATTAATCTTTCATTTTTTTTCCTTACTTCAAGCTGCCGGAATATCCCGTAAGGCGACAAAGAAGAACAGTTCCACATCCGGCGGAGCGAAAAAAGCTATCGGCCTTCGAGTTAACGTCGAATAATTAGTGACCCTTTGTTTCTTTGGTGCCGGAGGACAAGTTTGAATCTCCGGGATGCGAAATTTCTCCGACCTCGGCGTCGTACAAGGGCTGCAATAATCCGGTGATTTTTCCGACATTTGAACAAAATCATAGTCATCTTCGATTGTGGATGTAGAAATAGAAATGATGTCGGAGCTCTTTCTGGGAGTTGCGATGTTATTACACGGTTGATTTTGAAGAGCAGCCGCCGTCGCCGGAGATTCCGCCATTTTTGTCGACGACTTTTGCGAAACCGCTTTCTTCTTTTGAATGGTAGCAATCCTGGCCGTCGATTTTCTTATGCTGCTGCTCCTTGTCGTTCTTCTCTTGCACGTCGGACCCATTACTGATTTCTTCAATTTGACCTCAAATTTGAACTCTGAAAATTACTAATTCGAATCAATAATTATATCAACGTAGATGCTTTTACATGGAAGTTTTTCAGTTGGGCTCCAATAACTTGATCAGAAAAAGTAATATTTTGGTGTGAATCGAATTTCTAACAACCACCCAGAACAAAATCATTCAAAGGGCTTTATTTCCTAATGAGAAGTAAGCATTTTTTGGGAAAGGGGAGTGAATATCAATTGGAGAGGCGGGAGGTGAAGAGACTAGGTGAAGGGACTAAAAAAGAAAGGGTTTAAAGTTTTTTGTTACTTAGGGTTTATAAGGAGGCTAATAAAGAAAATTTTTTGGGGCACTCTGCCCTGTTGCCCGAATAAAAGTAAGAACCTTAAATTCAGGAAAGTTAATTTAAATCAAATTAAAGAGACATTTTTTAAGAAAACTTTATTATTAGAAGAAAGAATGAGTATATACACTTTCCTTTCTTGTTTTGGTGTTGAGGAAGTTTTTTGATTGGTCCAACTTTTCTTTTCTTTGTCACTAATCAAACACTCTCTAATAAATGGTTACTGACTCTCTAACTTTGACATTCAAACACTTCCAAAACTACGTTATCATGGGTTTTCTAGTTTAACGGTTTCTATAACATTTGTATTCATTTCTAATTAACATATTCTTTTTTTCTCCTATTTTTTTTAGCACTATTCTATAAGGACACTTATGTTTCTTAGGAGTTAAAGTTAATCTTTTGCTATGAACTTTCCCCCTATGATAGAGCAGATACATTATTATAGTATTATATGTGTATAAAAGAAACGATTTGAGGACAAAATGTTTGCATAGTTTGGTACAGAAAAATAAACCGCGCAATTTCAAGAGATTCGAAAACTATGAGGGAGAAAAAGCAATGTATCTATTAAAAATTCAAAAGTTTGGAAGAAGAACATAGTGTAGTATTAATTAATTAAAAACATAATTGAGGTTTGACATTTTTAAGCTCAAGGAAATTCTAGATTGTCTAAACACCTCGTGATCTTATACTGATTGCGGCTGATTCTGGACCTAAGTAAAACATGTAATAATATTTTTAGTAGTTTTATTTTATTTCAGTTTGAAACAAAAAAAAAAAAGAAAAAACCTCAAACAAAGAATACAGTATAGATTATTGAAATGATTTTATTATTGTATAAGGTTTCTTTGGAACTATGTGCTTTGGGTGTTATTTGATGATAAGGATCAACTTTTCACAAGTAGGAATTATATATAGTATGGGAGGCAACCAATGTAGAAAGTTTCATTAGCTCGATTTGCTAAACCTCTCCACCATCCCTAGCTAAGTTCAATTAACAAAATAATAATGTTTTGAAAGACCACATACATAATAATAATATTGTACCCCGTTTAATTTTTAAATTCGTGTTTTTAAATCCTTATTAGTTCTAAAGTATCTCAATTGCAAGTTAAATCTTACACTTCATTGGCTATAGTTCATAATTAATTTCTCCATGACTTTAAATGATCAGTGAATCAAAATTTATTCGCTGAGCATTGTGGAGAGTATCCTATCCTATGAAATCTAAACTCAATTTCATGCTATAAATTCCCGCAAAAAAAAAAAAAAAGAATTGAAAATCACTGGAATCTTTAAATTTTGGTCTCACCTGATCAGACATATATTTCAAAATGTTAAATTTAATTATTGTGGGCAGAATTTTGTCCAAAATAGCAATGAACAAATATCTTAGGATACCCCCTAGTCTTAAGTAAATCTGATAATTGTCGGTTTAATTTAAATTTATGTTTTATCAGTTCCCCACACGTGCAAACTCACTGAATTTCTTGAGCTTTGTTTTTCTCAAAGCTCCCAATTTGTATATTAATGGACCTTGTTCAGTGTGCTGTTTGCTTTGTTGACAAAAATTTCCAACATTACCACATGTCAACTTTTAACAATTTTGATTCTAAAATTACATGGTATTGTTACTAGCATGGTAAAGAAAATGTAATCTTACCACGTTTGTTTAAGTAGGTAACCTCGATATTTTAAAAATAAAAATTATATTTGATATGACTCTTGTTTTAAGACGAAAAAAAAAAATGACTATGCAGTAAAAATATCCCTATTTTTTACACTTGGTTGAATATTTTAGACCTTAAGAAAATATCTTATTGAGTTCATGAATTGAAATCAATGTACTGTTACAATTGCTAACCAAAAGAAGGGATTTTCATTCATTTTATGCAATCCTCTCCAGTTACAAAATAATAATTCACATTTATGAAGGTATATACTAATTGCAATCCCTTCATTCTAAAATATATTCATTTCTAGTAATTTTATCAATCCAAAACATTAAATAATTTGTTTGAAATACTCACTCTATTCAAAAATATATGTTTAGAGAAGAATTACCCATTTTCATTATTCATAATATTAAAAAATAAGATAAACTTGTATTGATTTTGTAGAACAACATACATTTTGAAAAATTTTGTAAATCTTAAAATATAATATATATATATATATATATTAAAGTTGAGGGAATACTTATTATGGATCATATTTCAGGTAAGTTACTAAAAATCAAGGAGGCTTTTCTTTTTATTACACTTTCTTTCACTTATAATCTTGTTTGTGTACGATTGGGAATTACTTACCATGAGAAGAGATTTTACTTGTTAGTCCAAGCAATTGACGGGTGGTTGAATAATGTACTTTTTTTTTCTTTTAAAATTTGTTTAATAGTATTAATTTTCGTTGTGAGTAGAAACATATATACTACATACATATATATATATAGTATATATATATGTATATCAAAATACTAACATTTTTTTTACTTAATTCTATTACAGTCCAAATCATAAGTAGTACTAACACATTAGGAGCACAAGAGTTAAAAACAAAAAAGGAAAAGAGAAAGAGGAAATGTAAGCCGCAGGATATAAGGTTTTCCTTTTTTGGTAGAATCTGGAGCTCCACCGCACAATTAGAATAGTGATCGTTCCTATACTTCTTTCCTAGAAAACACAAACCAAAGCAATATTTGATGTCTGTAAAAGTGTAATTATTTGTGATTAAACCAAGATAAAAGAAAGAGATCAAAAAAGAAAATTGTTTCTTTACAAAGGGGATGAAAAAAAAATTATTATTAGAACTTATACTATTTTAATACAATAAACATGATAATTATTTTAGAACGAAGGAAGGGGAAATGTTTGGAAATGTTTTTTATGGAAACAAAAAGAAAAAGGTAGTGAAACAACAACATTTCAAAAACTGAAAGATCTTTTTTAAAAAAAAAGAAAAAACTGAAAAATGGCAATGTGCAGAAATAAGAAAGTTTCCAATTTTTCAAGTAAAATCTACACAAATGAAGGAACAAATTATAACAGAAGTTCTCACTCAAATTTTTTTGATTAAAAAGATACCAGACAGGCCCACCTCAGAAGCAAATTACACATGAAATGCATCAGTTTTTGGAATCAGAATCCGCTAAAGGAACTGGAGAACCAAAAAATTCATAATCCAGAGTTGAGCTTCGATTACAGATATCTGAATTATATTCCAGAGAGCAAGCAGTAATACCATGCATTTCCTACTTCACTGACAATGCAAGCAGATAGATAAGCTAAAGAAAGCGAGATGGTCACCGACCCCTCGATGCAGATTCATTTAATTCTTCAAGGGAAGAAGGAAACAGTTCTATGTAACGACTCCCGAGTGTCATCCTATCCTTAGCAAGAGCTGCTTTTGCATCTTCTGCAGAATTAAACTCCACGAATGCTTCTCCTGTTGGCCTACCCTCAAAGTTTAATGTCACATGGATTGAATCCTCGGACAATGCAAAATCCTTGAAGAATTCTATAATATCATCCTTTCCAGCAGAAAACGGCAGTCCCCTCATCCGTAATACACCAGTTGGAACAGAGAGTTCCTTTCCATCAGCAGCTTTTGGTAATAATCTGATATTACATTGGCAAGAAGAGCAGAGGTTAAAAGGTTTTCACCTCAAAAATTTATGAAAGTGTACTCAGCATACAGATATGTGGGGGTGGGGGAGGGGGGATGGGGAGGGTTCAACATTAAATTCAGCTACCGAGCAAAAAGAAACAGCAAAGTCACTTTTTTTTTCTTTTCTATTATTTTTAATAAAGAAATTTCACAAGAATAAAGGTTCACGTGTACAGTGTACTGAAATACAACAGTACAAGTGAACTATTGGCCAAATTGCCATTCAAGAATATTTGGTACTCTATGCTTGCTAAAGAGTACCCAAGGCCACAGTTTAAAGATTTCAATTAAAGATATGCACCTGTAACACTAGAGAATTTATTTAGCACTTCCTTTAAATAGGCATTTCTCCTATCCACATTCTGCCTATTGTCATCAACGAATAAACTTTTTCTATTTTAGTTAACTGTTATATTCTTGTTCGAGTCAAGTCTCAGGGACTTTATTACATGATTGGCAGGAAATAAACACATCAATATGACAGCAAAACACATGGAACTAGTCACCGAACACACGGCAACATTACACACTTTATACACTATGCTTCCAATCACTTGCTTGAGATCGGCCTGAATCCACATCACTGAAAAAGACAACAGAGTAAGCCTCAACTTCCCAAAACGGAGTAGAATTACTTTCATTTGCCTTCTTGATTATGATATCACAATCTTCAACAGTCAGGTTCTCCATCCATTCCTCAATTATTCTCATTTTTCTCATGTGCCAAACATTTTAAAAACCCCAACTTAGTTGTGCGAAATCTTAAGCGACAATGATGACCCAATCATCTGGCAAGATATGAGCTCCTTGGCAACACAAAGAATAAAACATCACCCCTTCCATATAACAGGATTCTGCAACATTCCTCAAAGAAAATTCATGGAACTAACTACCAGCAAACCAACCGAATAATTTCCCAGCAAACAGTAACAACAAATAAACTTTGCCGGAAAACCCAACCAGTTTTTAATTCACCCTTCAAATTGCCTCCTGTGGAAATCTCAAAACTCCTACTAATGAAATTCTTTAGTTACTCCAAAGTTAAATACTTCAAAATTACATTTAAAAGGTATCACTATTCAATATATTTTTCAAATTAAACCTGTAATAACAGGAAAGAGGATTTCAATAATCAAGCACTCAACGATCAGAATCCAGAAGAAGAATAAAGTGCAAGAGGGTATGGCTGTTTTTCAATCCATTTTCTCCACATCATGACTGTCTTCTTTGTCCCTCTTCTATATTCTCTCTTTGGGTCTAATTAACTCAAAAGGAAAGTTCATTCTCATCTGAGAAGGTTTTCAGAAAGCCAAACTTCATATCTGCGAGTTATTTCGCAATTCCCCTACAATTTTCTTACCCATCTTTCCAGTACCACAAACTCACAAAGACGTAGAATGCGTAAAACCTTACAATCATTAAGAACAAAGACTCTTCAACATGTTGGCTAGTGTCACACAATCTCCTTACAGGCATAAACTTAACTAGCTACCTTAACAAAGTAAGAGCTCAGTGTCACAAAGTATGAACTCCTGCTACAGGTTCAACAATGAATACAAAATTACCTTTTTACTATTCCTCACATCATTCTAAACATAAATAATTGTATTATCCTACCATAATTTCTCTCACATCATGATTAAATTAAATAAATAGAGCAGTAACTGATGGAATTCATTCATCCCAGAGGGTTCAACAAATGATCCATGCACCCGATGGCACACACGATAAATGCTTCTTGTTGTTGTATTTGATAAATGAACTACACCAATAAGCTGTAGTTGCCTGCTACATATTATTTATGGAAGCTTGTCTAAATAATTTGTATGATGTCACAGACATGCCACTACCAAAATGATGGAAATAATTTGGAAGAAAATATAATAGTCTGTCAGGGAATACAGAGTTGGGTCAGCCTATAGCTCCAAGAATTAACAGGGACTCTTTAAGAGCTATAATGGGAGAAGAAAGCAGATTTTATTCTACACTTTCCAGAAATGTATCGGCTTGGCCATACTAGTGAAAAAACTGGTTCTACTTAAGCGTTACAAATTCCTGAGCTCTTAGGTTATCTAAAACTCGGAAATGTCAACACAGACCCATAGTTAATTCATCTAAGAACCTAACAGAAGTTTAAGATTGCAAATCTAACTTTACACCCATCCAAGACATCCACTACATTATATTAAAGCACAATGTTTGCAGCCATTGCTTTCCTCAAACAACCACAGGTGTTCACGGAAGCTCCGATAACTCCAATAGCTATAACTCATTTCGTTGGGACAAATAATTTGTTCAAGTACACCTAAGGAAACAATTTAACTAATTAGAAAAACAAGTACTTGACTATGCATTTTCCATCTTCAATTTGTGCTACTTCCACGGTAGCAAGTAAGCTAATTAGAAAAGCAAGTGCAAGACTATCAATCATAACCACTGCTGAACATGTCACTGCTAACTTCAAGATGAAATCCCATCATGGGGATGGCAAAACAAACTCCTGATATGAATTCGAGCTGTGCAAGCAATTTGGATCCAGGCAAAAAGAAAGAACTCAGACCTCAACCAAGATATGTCCCACATCCATGAGCCAGTATCACATAAAAATGAGCACACAAACAAGACATCCACAAGCCAGTATCATGTAAAAATCAGCATTTACAAGTTCACTAAAAAGAACGACAGATGTACACTGATCACAGAGTAGTGCCTAATATTAGCTAGGTTACAAAACTAAACCAAGAGCAAACAAGTGCCACATGCAAATCCTACTTACCAGGTTAAGAATCTTTTCCTCGTACTGAATCTGCGGACATATCAACTAGTAACACGCAGCCTATGGGGTCTAGACATTGCCTAGAAATTAAAGTTTCTCATTTATTGTTATAAGACATTTCGCAGCACGGAGTTTATCCATAGTAACTCTTTGAGCAGCATAAAATAAATTTTCAATTTCAACATATAGGATGGACATGAACTGAACTTTTTCATTTCAATCAACCCTTTTCAAAATTTGGACAATCAATTTGAAACATATTCCAATCCATGTCTTAGCGCTGTGCCAACAAAGGATGATGTTCACATTAATTTTCTAGCAAAACCCCCTCAAATATATCTTTGTGGAAACGCGGAGTACGAAAGCTCCTGCGTGGAAGTGTGTCATGGGAACAATCATACCATGAAGCCCTATATTCAGGAAGCGTTAACTTATATCCATACATGAGGTTCTTCTCTTAACTCAATGTCAAAAACGCAATTAATATACACCCCAGAAGCTACATAACCATAGTGTGAAGATCAATTTTAAAAGGTAAAAATAAACTTCAATTACAAACAAACCATCATTTCAAATACCTGATTAAGTAATTCCGACAAACGTTTGTCTGAAGACATTTACTGAGTACATCTTTCAGTAACCGCTAAACCAATAAACTATTCACTAAGGAGTTACAACAACAACAACAATAACAACAACAACAACAACAACAACAAGCCTTTCTCCAACGAGGTGAAGCGCAATCGTGCTCAATCACACAATTCATCCTTCAAATTTAAATATTTCAAGTCATTTTTTCTAGTTTCTTTCCAAGTTTTCTTAGGTCTACCCATACCCCTTCCTAATTGAATTCTGGACTACCCATACCCCTTCCCAATTGAATTCTGGATTCTAAGTGTCTGTCCTCCTAATCGGGGTATCCAAGTAACAACAGATTTTACTTTTATCTTTCAAACCATGCACTCAGGAATTCATCCAACTAATAACAGATTTTACTCGTATCTTAAATTCACGTGCACAGAACTTCTTATGACTTTCAAGAAAAGCAATACCTACAGCTTCCCGTGATAACTAGTGGGGTACAAAGTTAATTCAAACTAACAGAACGTACTTGCTCAGCTTACATAAAACAAACTATTTGAAGAGAAGAGTTGAATTTTAAAATGTTTAATTCACAGTTGACTACATATAACTTATTGTACAGTTTTCACATTCTCATGTCCACGAGATGCATTGTCAAAATGGCACTGCAAAAATGAGAAGAAGGAAAAATTCAAAAGCACAAATCTGTTTCTATCAAGCATGACGAGCATTCATCCCATAAAAAGTCATCTAATGACGAGTAAAAATTTTACGACTCCATCGAAAGAAAGAAAAGAACAGCCCCTCACTAAAGTTCTAAAATAAAGCAAAACTAGTAGTCTCAACAGATAACCATACTAGATCAAGTAAAAGATCAGAAAAGAATAACAAACAATAGAAAGCACTTACCCGCCCCTTGTAATAGCTTCGTCCAACTCTTCACGGGAGGAAGGGAAAAGCTCAATGTAACGATTACCTAAAGTCATCCTATCTCTGGACATTGCAGCTTTTGAATCTTCAGCATTTGCAAACTCCGCGTATGCTTCCCCGGTAGGCCTTCCATCTGCAGTTGCAGTTATGCTAATTTTTTCATCTGAGAGGACAAAATCCTTGAAGAACTCGATAATATCCTCTTTGCTAGCTGAGAAAGGCAATCCCCTGAGTCGCAAGAACCCTGTGTGTTCTGCCAAATCCTTTCCCTCATCATAGGATCTTGCCCTTGGCACAGCACGACGAGGTGAACCACCACGACCATCCGAAACTTCATTTGCTATGGCCTTGTAATATTCATCCTTCTTACTCCGAAATACTTCTACATATCTCCTACCAATATTATGCCTGTTTCTTTGAAGGGCAAAATCAACTTGAAGGGGGTAGCCCAAAACAGAAAAAGCTTCCCCTGTAAACTTTCCGCCTTTATGAACAAATAAAACATCAACAACATCCAAACCATGGAAAAATTCGGCTATATCAGCCTCAGTACAATCATAAGGGAGGCCACGCAGCCGGACAACTGGAAAAGGTGGTGGCTGGCCAATGTAAGCGTAAGCAGGAGGTGGCTGTGGCGGAGGAGGATTGTATATATAACTCGAACCAGGATTGGCCCCAAAGAATGGTGAACCCTCCATAACTCGTTGCCGTTTGAACCCCATTTCTCTCGCATCTGTGCTGTCCATATATTTGCTACATTCCGGAAGATGAGAAAGAGTTAATGCACGATCAGAAGTAGAAAATCAATCTTTAATGAGAGACTGACTTCAATTCAGGACTGGAAAGATATTTCACACCCAATTAGAGAACAAGAATTAGCATCATATTCCTTCAACATAAACTTCCCACATCCAAATGGGCCATAATTAAACTAGCACAACTCACAAGAAAATCAGATTTTGCATTGAAGTTGAACACATAGATTATGATAATTTCATAACAAGAAGGTAAATAATACAGAAAGAAGAAAATAGAAGCCAAGTAAGACATATTCAATGAATAGAAGCCAAGTAAGAAAATAGAAGCCAGGTACATGATACGAACACTTGTTTTATTCCCAAAAACTCTCTTGTTTCGCATCTGGCTCACAAAATTGAAGAAGAAAGGAGAGAAAATAAAAAGAAGCTCAAAAATTGAAATCACGAACACCCAGAATAAAATAATAAATCCGAAAAAGTGATCCCTTCGAACCTGCTGTAACCCAGAGAAAAAGGGGAACTAACTAAGAAAAAACAAAAATTGAAATTAGAAAAACGAAAAGAATGACGGAAATTTTCCCTTTGGGATTAAGGGTTCTCGCAAGCTTACCCTCTGTAGTACATCTTTTAAGTTTCAAGCTTTTCTCCAACGCCGAAGCAAGAATCACTGTCCTCCTCAAAGGTGCTGAGGTCTTTCTTTTCTTTTTTTCTGGTTCAATTTGGGGAAGTTAAAGATGAATTTGGGGAAGAATAATGACACACAGTCTAACGTTAAACTGGGGCGTTTAAGGCAGACACGTGAGTTATAGCAATAAAATGGGCCGAGTTGTGAAACGTAATCTTGAGCAGTTTTAAATTGGGCCTGGCCTACATAAAAAGCCTCTCATGGAATTTCAGGGGTAGAATCTATTTATCTATAATCTAGAATGTCGATGCGGCAATTTTTTATAAAAATATTTTGGCTCCAAATGCACCATATTGCATAAACTATTCTGCCACGTGTCACCCCCTTTTAAAAATAAAAAAGATATTTATAATATTAACGAAGAGATCAGATGGCCATGTTTATTCAAATTTTGAATTTGACAGTAAATGGAACTTTCCTTCTCCACTTATTTAGGACTTTCAAAAAAATTAATTTTTGGTTAATCAATTATCTTCATAAAAAACTAATTCATTCCTAATCAGTTTTGATTATTTACATATCAATTTATTAGGTGGGAGGACGTCCCCGGGCATTTGCTCGGGGCAAGCATCTAGTACTTAATTAAAGCAGCATACAAGAAGGACATGTGTCAGCTACACATTGAAAATTTTCTCGTTAAAGGCCTTTATTAATACAAAATGAAACTGACACGTGGCACTCTAGATTTTCAAGAAAAAGAAAGCCTTAAACAAAACCCAAGATTACGTGTAATAAAAAATAATAATAATAATAATAATAATAATAATAATAAAATAATATTTAAGATAAGATAATAATAAGGAAATCTAAATATCACAATTATATACTGATAAGAGATAATTTACGGATATCAGTCTACTCCCAAATTTTAGCTCCGCCCCTCAATTTTAGATGCATCAAATTAAATAAAAAATTCAATCTTATCTTCTCCGAATTGAAGCGTATCAATTCAAATCTTAAAAGAATCTCTAAAAATTGGATCAAAGGCATAACCTTCTACCCCTCTTTTACGAAAGTTAGAGGCAAAAAAAAACTTTGGAACAGAAAGATTTTTCAGTCTCGCGCACGATTTGGCGAGTTTCAAGCAGCGACGGTGAGGAAATGGCGGCAGCTACGATCAGAATATCAAGGCCACGAGGAAGATTTAGTAATTGGCGATGATGGGTTTCGTTGATATGGTCTGAATTGGTGAATCTGGTCACTAGAATCATCGGCTGACCGAACTCTTCACAAATTCAGATTATTAGCTCATCCTCCGTTGAAGAAATTTATGCTTTACACTTTGGATTGGTAATCAATTTTCATCCATTTGTTTTTGAAATTTTCGCAACTCTGGAATTCGGCAGTGGTCAATGATAAATAATAAAATAGAATTCCGTTTGTGTGATATTTTTTTGGTTTTGTTCTAAAACTCAGGTTGTTGAATCTCCTCCGTTTTGCTCCCCTCTCAAATCCAATATGGACCCCCTTTTGTTGTGCATCATAAACAGCAACGATTAAAAGCTCCGGCGAAGGATTGAAGGTTTGAAACCGTTTCTAAAAGTTTAATTTTGTAGATTTATTTTTTTGGAACAAATTAATTTCGAAAAAATTGTTAGAGATTTCTTTTTGAACGCTTGAATCGTTTTTGCTAATCAACTTTCATATGTATATTTCAACAACACAAGCACGAAAAACTCCAATCCGATTGAGGCAAAAAGAGATGTTGAAAGGAGAGGTAAACAATGAGTTTTCAAGTTCTCAAAACTCATCGTATACCCTTTCTATTTGATATTACATGATATTTTGTATGACCGGGATGTAAAGAATGAGTTATCAAGTTCATAGCCAATAGAATTTCCATCATATCTGTCTTCATTTTCCTCTCCAATCAATCTTCAGTGATCTTACTTTTATTTTGTATTAATATATTTCTTTAAATTTTATTTTCTTTTATTCAGTCATTTTTTATTTTTTTATTGATCATTTAGTGTCCGCCAACTGCATCAATGTGAAGTGTTATAATTAAGGTAATTGAATCTTTCAACTTCTATTTTAGTACTAATTAGATTTTCCTATTGTGATGGAAGTCCATGTATGTCGTTTCGAGTTTTGGGGGATTTCAAGAAGTTTATCAATGATGTCTTCCAAAGATATCAAAATGCCTGAATGAATGGTGAATTAGGGGTGTTTTAAATCTTTGACAAAACCGTTTTACTTTAGAATTGTATTGTTTTTGGATATCTACTACTCATGATGCATAATCTAGATATTCATTTTTTTTTACTGACTTCGAGCTTTTAATTATATTCATTTATGGCTGACTTATATGTTTTATGCAGAATCAGAATCCCAACAATGCTTTTCTGAAGAATCTATACATTTTGAGGTAATATTTTGTTCCGATTATATTTCTACTTTAGAATCATTCGTGCCCGTAGTAGATATGTGATTCTGAATTTAATTTATGCCTTTTACCGCTCTGGACTTTTGTTGGGCTCCTTTCATTAATGGATTCCTTGGTAGCTCTACTTTAGGGAAAAAGTTCTATATGAATAGTATGAAAGTCTATTACTTATTGCATCATTATTATGGTTTGAGATTACTTTAACGAAATCACTTTTCAATATTGCAACTCCTCTAAGTTATGGGAATGGACAAGGAGGGTATTGACTTTTGACAACCTCCACAATCTGTAAGCAGAAAATTCTCGAGTCATTCAATCTTATTATTTAAATCTTTGACATGGAAATTGTTTGGGAGTAATTTTGGGTTCAAGATTTCTTTTGCAATTTGTTTTGGGTTTTGGTTACTTTTGCAAGTTTTATTTTTTTTGACTTAGTTGATAAAATATGTTTCCATATGTGGCTTAGAAGAGAAGATGGCACGAGCTGGTTGGAATCGATGAGTAAAATAATGAGAAACTCCAGCTTAAAACTAGACTGAATTATTTTATTTCTATTGTTTGAAAGCAACGACAGAACTACTGAGATGACTGGCAGAAACTTAGGTGAAGAAGAGCTTTTGGCATGATAAATCATAATGTGATAGCTAAGCGTCATTCATATCCTAGTGTTGTGATTTGAATTTTGGTGAATTTGTTTTATACCAGAGATAAAGGGGATTGTTTAAAGTGTTTTTGTTTAGAGTTGAAGTTCTTCTTCAGATGTATTTTATGCCAATGAGAGGAACTTTGTTTGAAGCGTGGGGTTTTTAGGCAACAGGAAACTTAAGCTGTAGATTAATCCTCCCTTTTCTTCACTGAGTAATCAGAGTTTCATCTCTTCCCCTGTACAAATGTGTAACTTTTTATTCATTAGTTTTTTTTAAAAATTTTCACTATTTTGTAATAGAAGTGGTACATATTATAATAGAATGTAAATTTTTGTACGATTATTTTAGTTACCGGCTTTACAGTTTACACACAGGCGCCCCGAGCATTCGCCCGGGGCAAGCATCTAGTATATTATTACTGTCCACCGGAGGTAATACCGGTTGTGCACAAATTTAGGTACGATATACTTCTTCAAGTTTTTGACATTTGTCAGAATTCTATTGGAGTGTTATGTTGTCCTACGCCATTCCACTACTCCTTCCCGTTTGCCTTCTTTGTTGTGTTTTTTTACAAATCACTCTGCAGATTTGTACACCATGATTAATTAGTTATAGCATGATTGTGTACTTAAGAAAAATTCATGATTGGTTATAGCATGACTCTGTAGATTGGTGGTTAGACAGGCGATAACAGGACATAAGGATGGCGGATGAAAATGGTAGAGGTGATGATAAGTGTTCACTGTTTTTTCATCAACTTGTAATTTGGTAAAGTTGGACTAAGATTATCTGTATTTTCTTCGTCGATTTACTCTGGAGCCGTATTGTTCGAATTCCTCAATAGCGATGTAAATAACAATGATTGAGGGGTCAACGAATTTGGATATCGGGATTGGATTGTTGATCTTTCGTTCAAATTCTGTAATGAATATGATTGCAATTGATGTTATTTGGTTCAACTCAACAACATTGGGAATCAATAAATATCACAATAATACTTTAATCACTACAAATATAAAAACAAAATTAATTTCTGTCTTTTACGATGGAAAAGCCAATGTCCAAAGACATTTACAATAATTTTTTTAATCTTAACAATAAGAACCAATGATTTAATCACTAAAAATTACCAATTTAATCACAAATGATAATTTCACAATATAATATCAATAGATGGCTACCATGAAATTCAAAGCTCAATCTTATAAAAAAGTATATTATTTTTTCAAACTGCAGTGGACTACTTAACTGCTAGCTCTATATAAAAAAATATGAACCGAATCTTACAACGAAATTTGATATCCAATCTTACAAAAATACTTTTTTTTCTTGTGACCTATAATGTGCAACTTACCAACTAGTTTTACACCCAAAAAACATGAAATCTAAGCCCATTTTTACAAACATCTATGCAAAATATAGTTGCAATACTATCTTGTCCGGGTATGGGATTATATAAAAGTCCGCAAAATAGTCTCTACTCTTAGCAAAATCCAAATTAAGCAATAATTTAGCGTTTACATTAAGTATCTTTACAGATTGCTTTAGCTACCCTATACATTACCTTTAAATCCATGGTTACTCAAGATCTCAAGCTCCCATAATTGCTCTTGAAGAAGTCTCTTGCATCAAAGTTATTATAGCATTCATAAAACCTCGGACATCATCATTGAATTCCTTATTCTCCAAATCAGAATCTTGCTTAGGAGGAACATTCTTGATCTTCTTTGAACTTTTCATTCCCTTTTTAATCGGTAGCTTCTTTCGCTCATTAGAAACATCATTACCATTTTTATCTTCTAGTTCACTGCCATCTGTAGTACACAAGATAACAACAACTTTTTTTATATTGTTAGTAAAAGTAGAAGATTCTGCCACATTA